GAGCAGCCAGGGAAACAAGAGAAAAACCAGGGGAGAGTGATGTCCTACACATGGATAAAGTGTATCGAGGAAGAGGGGACGATAACAACGTCACATGTGCTGAGCAGTCAAGCCCAGTAAGGGCTGAGAATTGACGACTGGATTTAGCTGCATGGAGGTCACCGGTGGTCTTAACAAGAGCACTTTTAGTGGAGTGATGGGGACAAGAGCCTGAGGGGAGTGGGCTCCAGAAAGAAAGGGTGGAGTGGGATAGGACGCAAGTAAAGACAACTCTTGTGAGTAATTTTATTGTAAAGAAGAGTGAAGAAATAAGGCAGCATCTAGAAGTGCAAGAGAAATCGAGGGAAACTTTCTTTGCTTGCTTTCTTACGGAAGAAGTAAGGGGGGTTGTGTGTGCTGATAGAAGTAATCCAGTAGAGCAGGAAAAACTGATGAGACGAGAGAAAATTACTAGTGCCATGTCCTTGAGTGGGTAAGAGAGGTTGGGCTCCTGTGCCAAGTGGAGGGGATACATTTAGATAGGAGGATAGACAGTCCATCCATGCAACAGGGGAGAAGGCAGAGAAGCACGGCCCAGGACGGTGGAGGAAGTGGCAGCTTGCAGAAAGTCTCTTCTGATGGCTTCTATCTTCTCAGTGAAATAGGAAACATCCTCATTAGTTAAGAATGAGGATGGCGGAGGTGGTGTTGGAGGTTTAAGGAAAAGGCAGAAGGTATGAAATAACAGCTAAGAGAGAAATGCAGCTGATGGGCATTAAGAGCCGTTTGAATACAGCTGTCATTCATTTGGAGTGTTCCCGGTCAGTGAGGTTGTGTGATTCTCTCCAGCCATGTTCAACTTCCTGGCTTCACGTGGGGAGCTGGGTCTAACCAAGACTGGGATTTTGCCAAGTGGACATGACAAAATCAGAAAAAAGCAAAGGAGTTGAGGGTGTATGTAAGGAAGGGACAGTGGTGATGGCCCACAGACTTTAAGATGATGGGAAATAGGGGCATGAGGAGACTGAAGGTCAGGGGAAAATTAAATTATCGATGAACTGTAGGTCTCACTGGGGTCAAAGAACTGTTGGAGTTGAGGTGCTAGAGAAAGTGAGCAGTAAAAGTAGGACATAGTGGTCAGAGGCTGGGATGCTGGGAGTGGAGATTTTGAAGAACTACGGATATTTGGTACAGTAAGATCCAGGAGTTATGATCATGGGAATGGATGACTGAGGTGTAGGGAAGACAAGACCATTACAGAAAAGGCATTCAAGGAACTCCTTGGCTAGGGAACTATAGGAAACGTGTGCATTGTGATAGAGGATAAAACATGGCCTCAAATTTCTCCTACCCTGGTCCACAGAGCCTTCTACAATGTGTCTTTATAGCTCTTCCTAAAAAGATAGTTTCTATTTCCTGACTCCTTCACTGTGGCTTGGCTTTGTGACTTGCTTTGGGTGATAGAATGTGGCAGAAGTGACATTATGTGGCTTCTGAGGTCGTGCCTTAAGATGCTTTGCAGCTTCTGCTTTGTACTCTTGTAGCACTGGCCTGAGACCGCCATGCGGTGGAGCCCATCTAGCGGGTGGAGGATGAGCAGCCACATAGAGCTGAATTGAGCACCCCAGTCAACAGCCAGCACCAACCATCAGACATGGGAGTGAGACCACCTTGGACACTCATCTATCCCACAGAATCATAGAAATAATGTCATTGTGATTTTAAGCCTCTAAGTTTTGAGGTTGTTTGTTAGGTTCTAAAGACAAACAGAGACATATGTGGACAGTGAAATCATCAAGAATTATCACAAGAGAATGTTAGAGAGTAGTACCAAACCAGAGCTAATGTCTAGGTTCGTGAAAAAATCATGGTTTCTTTTCCCTTTTCTTTTTTGAGCTATTTTGAGTCAGTTGTTTTGTGTATTGTCAAGAATATCCAACCTACACAATGAGGTCTCAACAAAGGTATCTCCGCCACCTCCAAAAAAGCTTGAAAACCTCAGAGCTACAGCATCTGCCTCTCATTGATGACTTCTTGCTGTGGAGGATGGGAAGGCTTTGGGGAGGAGGTGGCCTCGTGGGTGACCCATGGAAGATGAGGGGGATCTGCCATGGATGTTCCAGAACTCTCTTTCACTTTGGGACATGACTCAGCACAACGGGACAGCTGAGCAGGACAGAGAGAAGGGAGAAAGGGAGCAAAGACTATTGGGCCCTTTCCCCTGGGTTTGTCAGGTTAGGGTTCATAGAATGCTGGGGGGTGAGAGAGAGCCTGGGAGGGGCCAGAGGCCAGGCAGGCACTTGGACAGAAGAAGCATGGAATAAGGAGGTGTGGTGGAAAGAGAAGATGGGGAAGGAAATTAGACACGGTAGGAGGCACGGGGTGGGGTAGGGGGAATGAGGTGAAGCGGGGGAGGCTGGGTGGTTACTGCCTAAAATACTCTTGCATCTCCCAAAGGTGCTCCTGTCCACCTGTAAGACCCTCACCAATCTGACTCTGGTGTCCTGGAAATGGTCTGGGATCAGAAGCAACTTCTTTTGTCATGTAGCCAAACAGTGTGCCTGAGGATTAGGCAACAGAGAGATCTCCATGGTATGGCACCACTGACCCCTGTCTTGAAAATTAACCTACTCATGTAGCAGCTGAACCTGAAAGGTTTGCCTCAATGACAACCAGGCTTCATGCTGTGGAAGTGTCTGGGCCCTTCCCTGTGTTGGTTGAATCAGAACATAAGGTTTCTGGGATGTTGAGGTTAAGTCAGGAAAGGAGAAGCAGAAACAGGGCTGGGTCAAGATCAAATGTCACGGATGGTGTGTGCAGGACATAAAAGGAACACAAAAGGTCAGTACATGAGGTGAAAGAGGGGGGATTGCAGGCCAGGCCATGGGATTGACTTAGGAGGGGCATTAAATTAGGAAATCGGAGTCTTAGACAAACTCAAAGTTAGAACCTTCAGGCGTGCACCTTACTGACACCTCTGTGTGTTCTGACTACATCGGGAGGCTACGACCACTGCCTTAATGCCATTCCTGTATGCAGGTGGAGAAGAATCTCCAGGGTATGACATTCAGTAACAGAAGCAACATGGGACACGATGTTTATCATATGCACACACCTGTGTAAAAAAAAAAAGTGTGAGTATGCACATGTGCATGTGAGCACGTGTGTGCATGTGTGAGCAAGTATGTTTAAAGTGACAGGAGAATCTAATACCAGTTGTTCTTGTTCTTTCTGGGAAGGGAAACAGGGGAACAGGGGTCAGAGGTAGGTAGGCTTTTCACCTTACATTTTGTGTACTTCAAAAAGGAAACAAACTATATCTCAGGAATTCCTGTAGACTAGTGGTTCTCAAAATTTATTAGAAATGCAAATTCTCGGGCCCCATCTCAGACCCACAGATCCAGATCTCTAGAGGGGGGGGCTTAGAAATCTATGTTTTAACAAGCCCAGGGCATGCTGATGCTGCTGGTCCAGGGACCTCGCTTTGAGAACCACTGCTCTGGAAGGCTCCCTCAGCCCGTCCCACCCCAGCTGCACACTTTCTCAGTCCAGGCCATTATAAAAATTGTTCCTTACTGTGGTAACTTGCTTAATTCTCTGTGACCCTGACTAAGCTGTGAGCTCTCCAAAAATGGTGTCTGCCTCTTTTTTGGTCACTGCTATATCCCTGGCACCTAACACAGAGCCTGACACATGGTGAATACTCAATAAATATTTATTAAATGAACAAATATATTTGCCCGGCATGTCCCCTCTGTGGTGAGGCTACCACAGAAACCTAGAGCTGAGCTGGAAGTCTGGTCAAGGATTAGAGGAACTGACCACGTCTCTTCCCTCAGACATAACCAAAGGAGAGGCAGGCCTCACATGCCTCTGTACTCTTGCAAACTGCTCCTCCAGTGAAGAACTACAAATGGCCAGGCACATACAGACCCCGCTATTCACTTCTTCAGGGGCAGAGCTGAGTGCTGACCAGTTGCCAAGCTGGTGACAACTTGTCTAAAGTCTTCATAATGGTGAGGAAACTGAGCCATAAAGGGACAAGTGACACTTTCAAGCATATTCACACTTAGGATTTCTGAATGGCACTTGGCAGCAATCCTGTGAGGAAGGTCAGGAGTGAACCCATTTCACAGAAGACACAAGCTCATTAGCAGAGTGGGTGCTGGTGGCTGTGGGAAGAGTCATAACGAGCACAATTTATCAGACATTTTTCATGTGCAAGTCGGTCTCATGCTCCTCCTGTGAGCCTAGTATTGGGTATTCTCACTTGACAGAGTGGGAACCAAGGTGTAGAAAGGTGTAGTGATCTGCCATGTCACCAGTGCAGAGCTGAGATTTGAGAAACAGGAGCAGGGCATCAGAAAGGGAAGGCCAAAACCCACCCAACAGGCCTGTATTCTCTCCATGCTGGGGGTTCCTGGGGGCGAAACCACTCTGTGCGGTTCAATGGGGTGGGGTGCAGGCAGTGGGCACCAGAAGGACAGGGAGCAGCTGGAGGTGGAGGAGGTAGGGGACACTAAAGAGAAGCTGCTGTCTCCCGTGGTCCCCAGCTCAGTCAGAAGGTTTTGAGGAGCAGGACTCAGAGTTCCCGTTTAAATCCTTCCATTTGCAATCTTTGAAAAAAAAAAAAAAAGCGGCTATCCCCTGACCACAAGAACTCTGTGCTCTGCCCCACCCACACATGCACACTCCAGTCCTCAATTGCTCCACAAGTTCTGGGAATTCTTTATGCCACCCGCCTTGCCCAACACAGCTCCGCCCAACCCCACCCTCTCCAATTTGCTTCAGACAGAGCTCCCCAGAGACTTGAAGCACAGCCAAGCGAGCTGAGATGTTCACAGTGAACTTGGCCTTCAGGAACTGTCCATTGGTGAGCGTCGTGGCCATTCAAGGACACCCAACCATACAAAAAGAAGAACCTTGCCCCCGTCTTGTCATTCTGAAAGACTGTGAAACCAGAGTCCAATCTCCATCATCAAACAGGAAGCTGAGTGCTTCCTACTTGGTCAGGACCTTGAATACTTAGAAACTCTAAAAGCCCCAGAAACAAAGACTTCGTGGACAAAATCCCTTGGAACCAGAGTAAGTGGCACCTGTCTTTTCTGTCTTGTCAGATAATGTTGAGGGCAATCTTGTTTGAAGTCATGTGCACAGCTAGGGCCTCCTCAAAGGTGGGGAATTCTAAATAGCCCCTCAATGCACCTGTCAGGCAGTTACCAGTATAGCAATACTGAGAATGAGTGGATGTTTGAGCCTGGGTGCTCAGATGTAAAATGGTTTTTCACTAAAAAGGAAGCACTCTTGAATGATTGGCTGCTGATGACTGATTAAGAAAGTCAGCCAGTATTAAGGGACAAGAGGTGCTTTCTCTGGAAAGCTATTCAAGAAGAAATTACTTGGCAAATTTTCCCATGTAAAGGAAAGCCAAATATAGTATATGAAGAAATTATAGCAAGAGGGAAAAATTAATTAGAAAAAGCTTTGCAGATGCAAGGGGGATTTAATACTGAACCAATTTCTTAAGAAGACTAGAACTAAGGATTCTCAAAATCAGGACTGCTATCTTTTGGAGGAGGTAGAATTTCATCCACCAAAGACAGAGAGGTGGCCCAGATGACCTCTTGGGTTGCGCCCGTTCTGTTCTACTAACAGAGATGCAGGTCAGATCTTGTGCTGAAGATAGAGGGGCATGGTGGCTCCCTGCAGGTATCTACTTCAACTATTCCTCCACAGGGTGTCTTAGAGGGTCCCAGATTTTCAGAGTTGGAAACGCCTAGAAGTTTGCACAGCCTGCCACCAGGCCATGTGCCACTCAGTGATCCTTTTAGTTTGCACACTGAGTAGCAGGACAGCTCTGGGCTATTCAGACCGTGGGGTTGAGCAGTGATGTGCTGCTAAATGTTTAACAACTGACTCTCCTGAAAAGAGAGCCATGATTAGTAATGTTTGCTGATTTCCATGGTGTAAATACTCCCAGGAAGGTCAATTTCAAGCTACCAACATGCTGAATGTGGAGTTGGGAAGAGATGCACACGGTCGGCTCCTACGAGCCAGCATAAGCCAGCCGGCACCTCTCTGGACCTGGTGTCTTTTACCATCACAGACTGCCTTTTCTCTGCTCAGAGACTTCACCAACTCCCAGGCTGGAGGACACTAGCATGGAAGGCTCCAGGCTCCTAGGTTACAGCTGACCGCTATGTAATAACCTTGAGGCAGACGTTTGCAGCAGACTACAGCAGGGCTGGCGGATTAGATGACAACATTGCCCTTTGGTTTCTCCTCCATGCCCCACCCTGGGTCAGCTCCCTCTAGGAGCAGCATACCCTGGAGTTGTTGCGTGCTGCCTGATAAGTTCGGGGAACAGCAAATGGAGTTGGAGTGGGGGCAGTGTGGAGTGACTCTGTTCAAAATGCCACCTGACAACGCCGACTCGACTTGCCTTCACCCTTACCAAAATTCCTGAGAAACTGGGCTCCTGGGGTCAGCCTGGCACTAGTGCTCTATGTGCTTCCCAAGCTGTTTGCTGCTTCCACCTGCCAGCCCCTGAAAGTGCTGACTGCCAAACTGTGCTATCTGCCCTTGTCAGCACTGGCAGATGGCAGAAATCAGAAACTGCCAGCACAGCTTCATTAGTGACCACCAGCCTGGGTTTCTCCAGAAAGAGGGCTCATCTGGTACATGTAAGTCCAGAGATGGAAGAGTGAGCCATAGGGATGGATTTGATGGGAATGAAAGCCTCTCACTTCCCACCCTGACAGAACTCTCCCCTTCCAGCCAGGGTGCTCAATACCCCCATGTGCCTTAATTTCCAGCGGCCACTGTAGAAAGGTGGGTTTTGTTAGCAGGAAACATTCATTGAGGAGAGTAGAAGATAAAGCACTAGAGACCCAGGTTTAAGACAGGAATTATAAAGGTACCATCTACTTTACTGATTGGTACCTAGGTCAAATCAATTCAGATGATAGCAACATATTGAAAATTTCAGTGTTGTTCACATGGAAGGGACAGTCATTGTCCGTTATTGTCAAGAAAAATCACTTTCTAGATTAACTACAAAGAGACCTGGCAGAGGGGATTTGGGGAGCAGGGTATGTTGGCCAAAATAGGATTGGAGCCTGGGACATCCTGGTGATGAAAAATCTCAGAGAAGGGTCACTGCAGGGAAGGAGGTCCCCCGATACTTCTGAGGGCCTAGTAAGTGCTGGGGGGGGGGGGCGCTTCTCTTATGCATTACCTCACAGTAGCCCTGCAAGGTAAGACTTACTTCCCCATGTTATAGGTGAGGGACTGAGGCTCATAGAAGTAGATTAATTTATCCAACGTTACACAGCTGGTAGGTTACATCAAAGCCCGTACTCCCTTGGTGGAGGACATCTTCATTCAGTATGTGATTGGAAATAATTCAAAAGGCGTGCTAAAAATCAGGGGCTGGGAGAAATCCTACAAAGGTAAGCTATCTGATGGTTCTTTTTTTGTTTTGTTTTTGTTTCAAGGCAACCCTGTGTAAAAATATCTGAGAAGTTATTTCAGCAGAATTCCAGTGTCTATGTGGTCATTGTGTGACATCACCTCAGGGCTCTAGGCCGTTCTGTGCTGTTCCTCCCCTGACCCCCAGAATTTTCTTTTTCTCATTAGGTCACACACCCCACCCCACCTCCCCACCTCCTGGCCAGTGCTTCCCTCTGAATCTACCTCATGGCTGTCACAGGTGATCTACAGAGTTACCCATAGACCCACCTGTGCCACATAAGGGCCATGTGATGAGGGCCAGGTTGAGCCTGCTCTGGTGCCCTTAGCATCCCCAAAGTGATGGGGTTGATCTACTAGGATATCTCTATTGCAGCACAATTGATGTTTGAAGTAGAATAATTTTTGCTTTGCAGGACATCCTTGGCCCTGCCCACCGAATGACAATAGCATCCCCTAGTCTTCATGACAACAACAAAAGAAAGCCCACATATTTTGCCCCAAGGCCCTATGGCACCCCCGGCTGAGAACCTTTTTAGACCCAAAAGCCCCAAAGATCTATTTTTAAGTCTATGACTCAGCCAGGACTGTTTTCCTTCCCAGAGTCCTGTGGACTCCACAGTGCAAAGCCGTCACTGTGTGACAGAGGCAGGATAGCTCAGTGGTGTCATCACATGAGAGTGATGTGCGCCTGGGTTTGAGCTCCAGCTCTCATCCCCACCAGATGTGTGCCTTGGGCATGTTTACTAACCACTCCAAACCTCTGTGTCTCCATCTACGAAATGGGAAGAATAATGAAACCCCTACAAGGGCTGTTAAACATGGAGGCCGATGCCTAGCCCTCGGGAGGTGCTTAGGAAGCACTCGTTATGAATGGCGTGGTGAGGTCTGTGCTTGCTGAACTTTCCCTTTACAACACCCGTTGATGAAGTAATTGAATTAATGACTTGTGCACTCATTTGTTTGTTGCCTGCACCCACATTAGACAATAGGTTTCATAAGGACAGAGAAGGCCTGGATCTCCCCTGCTCATCATTTCATCGCCAGGGCACAGGACACAGAAGGCCCTCCACAAACATTTGTCAAGTGGTTGAAGAAATGTAACCACTGCCTTGTTTTTGTGGTGTGCAGCCCACTGCCTTTAATGCAAAGTAAATACAGAATCCATTTTCTTTGACCCGTAGGTGAAGCCAGGATGGAGATCTCAGTCACCACAGAGGACTATGACATGACCACAGAATACGAATATGGGGATACAACCCCGTGTCAGAAGGTGGATGTGAGGGCCTTCGGGGCCCAGCTGCTGCCCCCTCTGTACTCGCTGGTGTTTGTCATTGGCGTGGTTGGCAATGTCCTGGTGGTCCTGGTCCTCTTGCAGCACAAGAGGCTCAGAAGCATGACCAGCATCTACCTCCTCAACCTGGCCGTTTCTGACCTGCTCTTCCTCTTCACGCTGCCCTTCTGGATTGACTACGAGTTGAAGAATGACTGGATTTTTGGTAATGTCATGTGTAAGCTCCTCTCTGGGCTTTACTACGTAGGCTTGTACAGCGAGATCTTCTTCATCATCCTGCTGACGATCGATAGGTACCTGGCCATCGTCCATGCTGTGTTTGCCTTGCGGGCCCGGACAGTCACCTTTGGCTTTATCACCAGCATCATCGTCTGGGCCCTGGCCATCCTGGCTTCCATCCCAGGCTTGTACTTTTCCAAGACTCAGCAGGAGTTCACTCGTGACACTTGCAGCCTTCATTTTCCTCATGAAAGCCTAAGAAAATGGAAACAGTTTCAGGCTCTGAAAATGAACTTCTTGGTCCTGGTCTTGCCTCTGTTGGTCATGATCGTTTGCTATACAGGGATTATAAAGATTCTGCTCAGACGACCGAATGAGAAGAAGTCCAAAGCTGTCCGTCTGATTTTTGTCATCATGCTCATCTTCTTTCTCTTTTGGACGCCCTACAATCTGACTGTGTTCATTTCTGCTTTCCAAGACTCCCTGTTCACCAGTCACTGTGAGCAGAGCAAAGACCTGGACATGGCCCTGCAAGTGACAGAGGTGATCGCCCACACACACTGCTGCGTCAACCCGGTGATCTATGCCTTCGTCGGGGAGAGGTTCCGGAAGTACCTGCGCCAGTTGTTCCAGGGGCATGAGGCTGTGCACCTGGCTAAACGGCTCCCCTTCCTCTCCACAGACAGGCTGGAGAGGACCAGCTCCATGTCTCCCTCCACGGGGGAGCATGAACTCTCCGCTGGGTTCTGACTGAGACTCCTGGAGGCCAACTCAGGACCTAGCAGGAGTGACCTGCCAGGCACACTGGGGCCGGGAGAAGAGGCGCCGTGGCTCTCCCAGCCTGCTTGTGACACCTGGCACAGTGTGGGATCACAGCCGCGTGGGATTAGAGGCAGCCTGAAAGTGGCCTAGACTAAATCACCTCTCAGCTTCAGTCTTTTCCATGAACTTCTCCCTGGTGGACGGAAGATGAATTAGTGAAACAGAACATTCCGGAGACTGGAACAAAGGGTGCCAGCAAAGGGCTTGGGCCCAAACAGGATTTCAGATTTGTGAGTATTAACATTTGTAAACAAAGCCACTGAAGCCCTCGCCCCCACCCCCTACCTCCATCACCGGTGAACTTGGAAGTAGTGATTGCCACAGCTGACTCCACTCTGAGCCCCGGAGCCCATCAGTGGCCAGCAGCTGCCTGCCCCACCCGTCCACCTGCCCCCACTGTAGGCTTTGGCTCTTGGAAACTCTGGGGAATATAGAACTCATGATGAGAAAATTTGAGAACTAATGGGAAATAGGATTGGGGAACTGCTATTGGCAGTGGAACTAAGAAAGTTCTCAGAGAGAAGTTTTATATTCACTAAAAATAAACAATTCAGACAGTGGGCAAAACAGACCATATGAATAAAATGCACTTCTTGAAATAGCCATAAAGTGTGGGGTGTGGGGGCGGGGGACTCCTCATTTCTATTTACCATTTCTTTCTTTCTGAATATTTTTCAGAATCTCGCTTCCCTGCAAGTTGGGTGATGTGTTGGTAAATTGACAGCTTTGTTGCAGAAATTTTACAGGCAAAAGGAAGCAGGGTTGGTTTTCTTCCTGCTAGTTCTTCATGCAAGCCTTCTGGTTTGTAGATCAGAGTTCTGACTACCACCTTGGACCTATCAGTAGAAAAATGGCCTGCTATGCAAGACGGCAGTGTTTGCAGCTGGAAGGGAGGAAAATGTCCACTGGGAAGATTCCTGCCCTTGCAGGAGGGTGGGGTGGGCCTCTCTGTCTTCATGTAGGAAGTTGAGAAGGCCTTTAACTCAAAGTGGCTTATTCACCCAAAATGTCCTGAACACTTCATCTCTAGCCTCTATTTATCATGTATTTGCTCCCTTTTGCCTCAGATGTATATTTCTTTAAAAATCATTTTCCTAATAACAAAAATTAATTCTGAAAAAACTTAAACACACACACACACACACACAAAACCAAACATCAAAATCATCCGCATTCCCACTACTGGAAGACAACTACTGTGTGTTTTGGGATGTGTTTTGTTTTAGTTTTCTTCCTGTGTATGTTTATGATTATAACAAATGTGAACTTCAATTGTACTCACTGTGCTGTTGTTTTTCTTTAGCATTATGTTGTGATCACTTTCACAGGTCAATAAATCATTTCAAAGCATTGTTTTTGGTGCCTGCAGTGAAGTCTCTGGCAGGAGTGTGTCCTAATTTACTCCACGCACTTTCCCACTATTGCCTGCACAAATTGGTTCAGTCCAGGAAAAATGACTGAGGAATGTCCTGTTCTGTTCAAAGCAAGTTCTGAGCCCAATGCATGAGGAATGTCTGTCCATGCAGAGAGCTCAGCTCAACGAGGCAGACAGCACACGATGCCCACAGAGCCCAGGCCACATGGCGGGGGCCGCTGCGGAGCTCACACCTCCAGGGCAGTGAAGGGGAGGAAGGAACCCATCAGTAAGAAGGCATCCTAAGGCGACAGGTGTCTGACCATACAACACAGTGACACCAGGCTGGCTTCTCTCCTTTTCTGGATACTAAAGTTGTACTCTAATCAAGCCACTGTCCACTTTAGGAGGGAACTGTCTGTGTTCACATGTTGTCTTTGTACAAAGAATCTGCTGTCATAATGGTCTGGAAAAGTTTTGTCTAGGGAGGAGAGGTCACACTGCCCTGTGCTTACACCTCCACACAGAAAGTGTGGACAGATACAGGCTTTAGGAGTCAAGGTGAATGTCAGTTCTCCATTTCTAAACCCTCCAGCCCTCTTTAGTAAAAAAAAGACTGCACCAAAAAACAGTATTTAATCCACAGTGGTATCACAATGAGGAATGTTTCACAACATCCTTGTTATGGTTTGAATGTTTACCCCAAAGTTCATGTGTTGGGAACTTCATCCCCAGTGTGGAGATGTTGGGAGGTAGGACCTTTAAGAGGTGTTTAGGTTGTAAGGACTCTGCCCACATGAATGGATTAGTGCTGTTATCTCGGTAGTGGGTTCGGTGTGGTGGCAGTGGGTTCCTTACAAAAAGACAAGCTAGTTCCTCCTCCCCCACCCTCTTTTCCACCCTTCTGTCATGTGAGGAACAGCATTCCTCCACTCTGAAGTGGCAGCATCCTGGAAGCAGAGGGCAGCCCTCGCCTGACACCAAACCTGCCAGTGCTTTGATCTTGGACTTCCCAGCCTCCAGAATTGCGAGAAATAAATTTCTATTCTTTATAAATTACCCATTTGGGGTATTCTGTTATAGCAGCACAAACAAACTAAGACAATCCCCAAATTCCATTTTTGAAGTAGTATTTACTTTTTTTCCTTGTTACAAAGGCAGTATGTGTTCATCGTAGAAAATTAGAAATAGCTAAAAAATGCAAAGACTAAATGGAAGCATCTGTAATCCTACTACCCAAATATAGCCTCTCTTAGGATATTAATGTATTAGTGCATTTCCTTCCAGTACTTTTAGCTAACTGCACCCACACATGTACAATCACAGTTCATGATTTTTGTGTAAACTTGGTAATGTCTGACACATCGCAAGCACTCTGTAAATGCTGGTTGAATGACTCTGAGCCTCCAATTTCCACATCTATGAAGTGAGAATGAGCCTTGTATGTACCTCATGGGGCTGTTGAGAGGATTAAATGAGATAAAGCAAGGCAAGTGGGGCAGTCCTCCTCCACCTTCGTCTAAGACATCTGACTCCTCCCTGCCAGCGCCCTTCCTTGGTCACCCACAACACAGTCCAGCTCTTCTCAACTGCCTCCGTCCCCTCTCCCCCCATGCCTACTCGGATCCTGTGTTAGGGGGGCTCAGCCCCAACCTCATTGCTATTGTTGCTCCTATTGTTTTTCCATTTCATTCTTACAGAAATGTTTCCAGAATAGCACAAAGAACTCCCTTCTCCCCCATCCAAACAGCCCTATTGTCAACATTTTTACCACATTTTCCTTAAATTCATCTTTATCTCTCTCCATAGGTAGGTAGGTAGGTAGGTAGGTAGGTAGGTAGGTAGGTAGCGATACATAGATAGACAGACAGATAGATGATCCATGGATACCAAGATACTATTTTTCCTCCAGAGCCGTTTGAAAGCAAATTACAAATACGATGCCTCATCACCCTTTAATACCTCAGAATGTTTTTACTAGCAACAAGGCTACTCTCCCACATAACCGAAACAGGAAATCAACACTGACACAATATCACCGTACAATCTACAGCCCTTTTTCTGACTTGCCCACTTCGCAAATGATGTCCTCTACAGTCCTAGGCTGCAGAATCGCCTGTTTCACTTAGTTGTCTGCCTCTCTAGTCTCCTTCAGTGAAGCTCTCCTCATCTTTCATGACTTCCACATTTATGAACACTATGATTACCTGGTACCTGGTTCCTCGATTTGGAGTTACTGATGTTTCCTGATGATGACACTCAGCTTATGCAACGAGGGCAGGAGTCTCACAGAACGGATGCTGCGTTCTTGGTGCATCGTGTGAGGAGGCACCTGGGCCGGCCTGCCCCAAGACTGGAGCTGTTAAACTAGCACTTGCTTAAGAAGGTGTCTGACAGGTTTCTCCACTGTAAAGCGGTTTGTACTAATGAATTAATAAGTGACTATTACTAGCTGGCATTCTACTATCAAGTAAAAGCTTCTCTTCTCCTTTATTTATTTATTTGTATCAGTATGACCTCGTGGATTCCTTTTTTATTCAATACAATGTCGTCTCATATTGTTTTTATTTACTTTCATGCATAAATTGTCCCAGATTTATCTAAAGGAAGCTGGATTCTCTGTCCCTTTGCTCTGTCTTCATCATTCTTTGAGCACTTCCTTCCTTTCCGGCACAAAAAGTTCCAGGTTCATCTTATATTTTCTCTGCCCCAGCCACAGAAACAGACATACCTCCAGGGAGTCTGGTTTCCTGTCTCTGAGACTAATATTTAGAAAACAAGATTTGGGTGCCAGGTGTGCTCATTGCTAGTGGAGCGCTACTGTTTCTAACCTTCTCCGTGGACAGAGCTGGGGAAAATATCTATGGAAGCCTAAACACCATCGCGCACACACGCGCGCACACACACACACACACGCAAGCATACATATGTCTCTCTATTTATCTATCATTTATATCTGTCTGTCTACCTGCCTGCTGGTGTGAACCGACACCTTCGATGACAGTCTTACATAACACTGTTCTTCTTAGTCTCATACGTTTTCATAGGTGAAACTCGTTTCTCATATAACGAGAAGCCTGGCTCTCACTTTTGTCGATGTGTTTTCTTTTTTACATAACCCCTCAGTGAGTAGGCATGACTGTTCTGATCATGCCAGCCTAGTACCCACTGCCACCAATGCCAAGAGACTTGGCACACCAGTTGAGTCCCCCCAGCCCTTTGGTCCAGGCTCTGGCACGTGAACCACTACACACGAACTTAGCACCAGAAAGAGTGAGAGACGCCCCCCACCAGTCTTAAATGTTTTATTTCTTCCTTTTAAAAAATCCAAACCACAAAGAGTAAGAGACCCACCCCTTTCCTTCCCATCACAGGCACAATTGATCTTATTAATCTTTTCAAAGAAACAGCTTTTGTTTTCATCGATTTTTCTCTATCAATTTATTCTCTGGTCTTTGTTATCTCTTTTTGTCTGCTTATTTTGGAATTTTTTTTTTTTTTTTGGTCTCGCTTATTAAGGTGGAAGCAGCTGTGACCGTTGATTTAAGCCTTTCTTCTTTTCTAATATTGGCACCTAGAGCTATGATTTTTTCTCTAAGGACTGCTTTTGCTGTATTCAACAATTTTCATATGTTATGTTTTCATTTCATTCAGTTCAAAATAATTTTTAATTGTCTTTTATACTTCCTTGCCAATGTGCTATTTAGAAGTTTGTTAGTGTCCAAAGATGTGTAGATTTCCCGGATATGTTTGTTATTGATTTCTAATGTATTTCTGCTGTGACATATGACTTGAATAATTGTAAAAGTGTTGAGACTCCCTTTATGGCCCAGGAAATAATCTACATTAGTAAATGTTCTGTGTGCACGTGGTCCAGCTTGGTTAATAGTCCATGAGCACTTGAGAAGAATATAAATCCTGCCATGTAATGTTTAATAAATGTCAGTGAGGTCAAGTCGGTTACTCATATCTTCTACTCCATACTACTTTTTTTATCTTATTGTTCTATCAGCAAGATAGACAGAACAATAAGTTGTCTTGTTAAAACTT